TCCATAAAAGACCCTTCCTGAGAGCTCTAAAATACTGTTCTGGAATCAAACAGAGCTTGGTTCACAGAGAAGCACCCATGTTTCACACACTTGCATGCAGCTTCTTCACCATTGTCACTATTCCTCCGGTCTATGCAGAAAGACCATCCTGGCCCACCCCTTGGCTGTCACTGACCCAGTCCAGGTCCCATCTCTTTGCTTGCTGTGTGCAGGATCACTACATCTCAGAGTAGCAGCCAGGGCTTCCTCCTACAAAGGGTGCCCACAGCACAGAGAGTCCATCTGGGAGGATCGTGTTTGGTCAGGCGTTAATCAAAGTGGAAATCAAGGTCAAAACCAAGTGCCAGTCCTAGTCTAGGTTAGCAAGCCAAGGGCTGAGATGAGATTGAGGTCAAAGCAAGGTGTTGATCCAGGTTGGGACATGCAAGGAAGAACAGGAGCAATTGGGAACAGGATCAAGCAGGAAGAGATAGGAGGTTCCAAACTAAAGGTTCAAGCATGGAGACAGTTTTAGGATTGCCAAGTAGGCCAGGGGCCCAGAAATGTGGTCTGTTTCCCAAACAGCTCTCTGGTGGGATAGGGGGTGTGAGAATCCTAGATAAGGGCCTGTCCTTTCCTCACACCCCAGCCCAGCCTTCCCCAAAGTAGGGGTCACATGGCCATCCTTCACATGACCATCCCCAAAGGCAAGGTGCAACAAGGGCCCAGGAACTACCAATGTCACTTCTGGCCAGGCACAGGGGCCGTCACAGAGAGAGAGGGCTTGTTTGGCACAAGCGTTAGGGGCCCTAGGAAGAGCTGAACTGACACAGACCAGGGCCCTGGAAAGGACCCCAGGAAAGGGAGAATGGCACTCTGGAGTGGCTAGGGTGGCACATCCCTAGGACTGGCACTGGCTGAGCAGGACGGAAGAGTGCACCTTCAGCTTGAGAGAGACCCTAAGGCAGAGCTTTCCAAACTTTTCATGTTGGTGACACACTTTTTAGACATGCATCATTTCGCGACACAGTAATGGGGAAGGGCCAAGGGAAGCAGAAGCGAGTAAGGGAGCTCCGCGGTGCCCTTCCGCAAAATTTTCTGCATTTCGCGCGACACACCTACACACTGCCGCCGACATGCTAATGTGTCGCGGCACACAGTTTGGAAAGCTCTGCCCTAAGGTATTGTTACATTGGACGTGGGAGCCAGAACACCTGGGCTGTTTCAGGATGGGTGACAAGCAGTGATCAGAAGTATTAAACCAAAACTGAGAATTTGTGGAGATCTCTGACCAGCTTTGGAGCAGTCAAAAAGTTTACTACCATATCCCTTATGTATCAACAGCCTCTAAAAGAAAATATTCTTCTGCTGCCATAAAAACAACTGGAAGAGATGGAAAAAATCCCTACCATGCTACTGTGCAGGTTTTAACACCTAAGGCAGAGATGTGCTACGATGTGAGGCTAGTTCAGAGATTCAGGAGAGACAGAGGAAGTAGGACCTATGTTAGTGATGTAGTCAGGTATGTGATAGTGAGGGATGAACAGCTGAAAGAGTTCACATACCCACAGACAAGGAGGAGCTCAAATAGGCAGATGGATGGGAGATGACGAGGGACAAACTGAGATGGGTGGATGGATGCAAATATAGTTCGGTATAGGCTGACACATAGTGACTGACAAGTGGTTTCTGCCAATTTATGGAGATTAAGTTGGAGCCTTTGTGAGACTAGCACATGCCTGTGAGAGACTCCCCATCTCCCTCCAATCCCAGGGTACCTTTGTGTCAGTCCCCTCTTTGTCTGTCCAAAGCAGGAAGCCAGGACCCCTCAGATGGAGCTTCAAGAACTGCCCTTGTATAGGACTTCTCATTCTCCAATGTCCAGGGCCCCCTGGACCAGCTGCAGCATGATCCACCTCAGGGTCTAGCCCACCCTGACCTGTTGCTAGGGGTGTCTGTGTCCCTGGTCACACTGGTTTGGAGCTTTGAACACAACCCTCACCAAGGTTTCTTGTAGCATTGTGACATCAGAGCCCCTCATGGTCCACTCTCAGGCTCTCTCTCCAGTTTATATGCATTTTGCCATCTCAGCACAGGTCTCAGAAAGGGGAAGTCAGGCTGAAGCTGGCATGTGCTTTGTTGGTGTGAAGTGCTGAGTGGCACTGCAGTGAGTAGAAATCAGGGTGTGGAGCAGAAACCAGGGCAGATGGATGTAGCAGATAGAGACAATCTCACGGTTTGGTGGCTGAAGGTGCTGAGCTGTATCAGGCCTCAGGGAGATAATAACTCTTGGGAATCTGGAGAAGAGTCCTTCCAAGGGAGTGCTAGGGGGCAAGGAAGGTAAGAGGCCCTAACTGAAGAAGCCAGCCCTGTATAAGGCCATGCAGAGAGAGAAGGTGTGTGTGGGCTGTCACGGCTGCATGCTGCACATGTTGAGTGGCCAAACTGGGTTGAAAATCACAAGATGTAAACATACTAGAAACATTGGATCTGATGTTTCTGTTGTTTTGGTGCCTTCTGGGTCAAGATATCAACTCACCTGTATGCCTCCCAGTGTCAAAATCCATGTTCTGCTGAGGGACGACTGATCCTCTTACCCACTCCCACAGCTCCAGGAGCTGGGCCTTGAAGGGAGAATCGTGTATGGCTGGACTCTGCTGGTGTCTCCAGTAATGAGGACTAAAAATGCTGTAAGGAGTGTGTTGGAAACCCTGTCACTTGGCAAAAAAAAATATATCCCACAGGTTGGCTGCTGTTTCTGACTTCTCAGCTCCTCCTGAAAGGACATCTGTGGAGAACTGCTCCATGTGAAGATGCCAGGAGTTGTTTGCTCCTCCTAGAGGTATGACGAGAACTAACTGTACCTTGAAAAGGCTCTAGGATGATCTGGTTGGGGTCAGTGGTTGTGCTGTGCAGAGGTTCAGTATCTCAGCATCCCTATGCAGGCTTTGCAGTGAGCACCTCAGGCCGGAAACATTCTGATACTGTAAAAATAAAAGCCCTGCTCTGTAACAGACTTAGGGAAGGAGAGCGTTTCAAATGAGCAGAGACAGTGTTTCCTGTGGGGTCACAGATGGAGACCCAACCAGCCAATCAGCACTGTGCTCTTTCTTTTCACAGGGACACAAACAACGGGAGCAGGCCAGATGCCCCTTCTCTTCTTCCAGCTCAGAGCTCCTCCATCCTCCGCTTGTGAACGGTGAAGAACAAGACAAGGTATGGGGCCCAGCTGCTTTGTATGGAGGGACTAGGAGGGGTCCTGGGTGGTGGTTCATCTCTTCCAGAAGGTGACTGATCCGATTACACCTCCTGCTTTAGACTGCAGTGCCCAAGGAGGAAAACTGGGTGATTTGGGAAAACACAAGGTGGGGCAGGGCATGATTTTGGGAACCAAGGGAAAATGCTAGTCTATGTATTTTCAGTGAGTGCATGGATGGGAAGGCCATGGGGTGCGGAAATGTCTGTCAGGGGCAGGGTGTAGGAAGCATGCAGCTGGACAGATTGGTTAACTAGGGTTGAAGTAAATGGTTATCTTCTGGCAAGGAGGAGAGATCACAGACCACAGACCACAGTATAGACTTAGCCCAGGGCAGGGTGTGGTGCCCTCTCACAGGGATGAGACACAAAATGGGAGATGGACAAAGATTGTGATCTGGAAGTAGTTCATGTCCCCAAGGGGCAACAGGACTCAGATTCTTGCACTTAAGCAGAATGGGCGAGACCTCGTGCTGGTGTCAGAGGTCCTTGGGCTCCAGCGGAAGGATGCTGACTGCCACCAGCACAGGATCTGTCCTGGTTGTATGAAAGAGCCCTGGCCCCGACCAGCCAGAGCAACCTTGGGCAAGTGCATTCTCTCTGTATGCTGCCACAGTGATTGCTCCCTCTTAACTGGTACAAGCCAGCTGGAGTTTCAGAGTGGTTAACTGAATTACAGTGGTCCTCCATATTCTCCATGAATTAATGCCTATAGAAAAAGGAACCATATTCAGCTCAAACCACAAATGATAACTGCATCCTTGAAGGCCAGTGCAGAAGAGCCTAGCAGCTCAGTGATCAGTTCTTGCAGCGTTAAACATTGGATCCAGACAGTAGCAGTGGGTGCATCTACACATGCACTTTACCATGGTGTTGACTAATCAGCTCAACAGTAAATTGCCACCGACTACAGTAGACTGCTGGTATTATAGTGCAATAAATGAATTAACTCTGCTGTAACACACTTGTGACAGGGACTGGCTGGAGCACCAGGTGCAGGGGTGGTCTGCCACCTAACCGCACGCTATAGCACCCTCACGCCAGGCAGCTTCTCCAGAGCACAGTGAAGTGCACTGGAATTTATCACATCACATACATTTCACGTGTAGATGCACCCAGTATGTTGTAATAATTCTGGAAGACAATGAGTAGGCTGATATGAAAAGTCATGAGTTGAACTGTGGAAGAGAGTTTTGCTTTCAAAATAATATTTCAACAGGAAAAATGTGGTTTTGGTTCCAAAAATAGGTTGGAAATGAGGTGGGTTCTCTCAGTGCCTCCCCTTCCTGCCTCCCCTGCCCTGTCTTGTGCAGTGCTGTTCTTTTTCAGAACTGACACTAGACAGTCACATTTTCTCACAGAATATTTTATTTACTTATTTATTTTGGTGCACAAATTGTTGAACTATTGTCTCCAATCCAGGTAAAGCAGCTGACACCCCTATTGCAAAGGGTGCCTGACAGTTCCCATGAAAAGGCCCTGTTTTCATTTATTTTATAGCTCTGCTAATGAATGAAGCAGGGGTTTTCAGCACAAAAAGGTCACTTTGGTGTTTGAGGCAGCTGGGTGCTGCCTTGGAGAACTGGATTCTACCCCTGCCTTTGCCACAGAGACCTTGGGTGATGCTGGGCATGTCATAATCCAGGCCTTCCTTACTCACTGCCCCTCCATGTGTGTTCCTTCTTGTAGGACTGCCTTTTTTGAGAGCCTGGCGTCTGATCTGCAGAGGTGCTGAGCACTTGAGACTGCCTCTGAGGGCAGTGGGAGCCAGCCTTCAAACTGACTACGTTCTATAAAGAGGGAAGTGCTCTGCAAAGGTACCCCCCAGCCACTTTGGATTGCACACCTAGGATTACTTCACCATTTCCCTGATTTAGCTTTTATCTCTGTATCTCAGTTTTCTATGTAGCAAATGCATGAAATATGCTGAGAGTTGTGAAGATAAATTCACTAATGTCTATAAAGTGGAAGGGGACAGATCCAGAAAGGGATCTCTGAAATATCCCAAATAGCCCTTTGGATTTGGCCTAAGGTACTGCAATCAGAAGAGCACAGGACAGCCCATGAGCAAATAATGAATTCTATACTCCAGACAGGATTTCAGTAGTGTGAAACAGTTAGGACATGGGACCACACATTGTACTATGACCATAACATGTCACAGTGACTCATTCACATACACCAAGAACTGTCTGAATACATTGTTATTTGGTGAACACCATCTATGCTGTGCACTGAAACAGGCTGGAGCCTGTAGTGGAGGAGAGAAAAGTATGTGTTTCTGTAATTAATGATTGCATTAGGATGTGTTTCCATAGAAGAGCTGAGCTGATTTAAAGTTGTGTAGGCGACTGTAAGTCTGGTGTCTTGTGAATTCTTGAGTGACTTTGCAACTGTTACCTTTCCTGAATGTGGATTTTTCTTTTAATGTGGTTACCGAGTATAACGTGTAGAAAGCTCAGCCCCATCTAGAGTTATTTCAAAGGATCAAGCTATTTATGAAACTCATCACTTCCTCAGTGAGCATCATCCAACTGACTCAACTTTCAGAAACCCAGTCTATAATTTCTCTCTCCCTAGCACCACTGGACATGACTGAGTATGTGATAACCCACTCGAACCTGAAATATGATCAGCCTAGAAGGCAAAAACCTGGAGACCAAGGTACAGCATGGAATCAAATATCACTCCAAAAATGATAGCATTATCAAAATAGAAATTCAAAATCATTTTTATAAGCATTAGCCATCATCATGAAATAAACTCTGTTTCCAAAAAAAGGAGAAGCCCTCTAAGACATTTGACTAAAGCCCTTCTGCAAGCTGTTTAAGATGTTCTCAATCTTCAGCTTTTGAACCTTGGAAACCCCTATGCATTTTTCTGTTTGCTTGCTTTGATACCCAGAAAGTCCTCTATTATGTCATCCAGCATTTCTGGACTTATAATGAATGAACTCATTCGTGTTTTATCCCTTTAAGTATCACATCAGCCACTCCTCTCTCATTAAAAATAGTCCAACAACAATGAACAGGGAATGATGGCTCCTTTGGCCTCTGGCCATCATTCAGAATTCATATTTCTGAGGATTTTAGTTTTTTATCTTTTCCATGTCTCTTGCACATGTGTCTTCTTCTGAGGAAGGTAGTAATTTTTAGAGCAAAACAGTCCTTCTAGACCTTGCTGCAGTCTGCTCTCTGCTTCTAATAAAGTTGCCTGCAGGAATCTGGCCCTGGTAAATGACAGAGGTGAACCTGATAGCTCTGTGTGCTTAATGGCAGGCCTTGAATGTTTGAGGTTTTCTCTTCAAAAGCTTTTCACCAGTCATTTCTAAAGGTTTATTGTTGGTGTCTGCATTTGATTGTCAGGAGCTAGTCTAAGAGCCCCACTGAGTGGGAACTTGAGTCATTGGGTGGGAAGGGAGCTCAAACGACACCTCCTCCAACCATCTCCTGTTAATGTACCTGAAATTCTGAGTAGCCCAAGGCAAGGGACACCTGTATTCCTGCCAAGCACTGTGGAGGACCCAAGGCATTACACAGCTCATGGTGCCCTCCTCCTTCTCCCTTTAGGCCTTATTTCTCTCATGGGCAGCTGAGAGCCTGGGCCTTCATCCCTTTGTTTCCCCTGACTAGGAAAAAGCATCCATCACTTCTGTACATGCCCAGTCTGGCTTTGACAATCACCTGGTGGGTTACTTCCTGCTCAATCCAGCACCTCAGTACTGAGGGCATTTCCCTGGGTACAATGATGGCTGGCGTTACAATTGCATATAATGCTGAGGCTTAAAGATGTAGAATGCAGGATTTGTCCATTCGATTGGTGGAAGAAAATAGCAGCAGCAAATATCCAAACTATTCTTTTGTTTGATCAGTGTTTGAACAGCTCTCAATTCTTCATTCATATTCCCCAGCAATGATCACAAGACCAAGTGACTTAACAGCATCTTTGTATATGGCACTGCCAATAACCCATTCAGTGGGATTTTCTCTTCATTGAGCCCTAAATTGTCTTCCATCTCCCCTTATCTAAGATGTGATATTTCTGGGGATGCCTCTTGCATGTGCCTGAGCTGTTACAGCTGTTTCCTGTCTCCCTTTTGAAATACTTTCAGAAATTTTATCTTCTCTCATGGAATAGTAGACAAGCCCTGCTATTACACAGGCCTTGCCCACAGCTATATTGTTCTGTCAGCCCCTGTAAAGCCAAGTCTTTCCTCTGTGTTCCCATTATCTCACCAGTCAGACGGGAGGAAATGAGAAGTTACTGTGAGAACCTGCTTGAACAGCAGAGCAGCACAACAGCTCAGCTGACAGAGCGCAGAGGGGCTCGGGGCAGCCCACACCCACGGAGGAACAATAAAGGTAACATTGTCAAGGTTTCACAGAAGCACTTGGCTTTCACATGTCTCCATTACCACCATATACACAAAAAACATGTCACACCCAGGCTGTGCACTATGTACTGAATTCGCCTGCTGCACAATACCTCCCCCATGGGGCTTTTCACTTGAGTCATCCTGTCACACAGTGCAGCCCTGCAGCTTGGAACCAGCATTTTATTGTTCCTTTACCGTCCATAATATATGTCTCCTAAGTGTGTTCTGTTTATGCTCCTTCTCTCAGAGCATTAGGGGGTTCAGCTTTTCTGGCCAACCAATGAGTCAAAGAACCTTTGATTTTAAAGGAAATCTGAGCTTGTTCTCAGGTAACTACCAAATTGCACATCAAGAATGACGGGGGGAAGGGGCAGGGAGGGACAGAGTGCTGCCACCCACCATGATGCACCACCATCACATGCCAGGAAGCTTGCATGTACAGCCCCCACTGCCCCCCTCTGCCATGACCTGCCACTGCTCCACGTCCGGCTGCGCACCATCCCCCCCACCGCTCCATGTCCATCCCCGCACCCCTCAACCCCATGCTGCCATCCACCTCTCTACGCTCTCACTGCTCCACGTCCAGCCACACCCCACTCCCCCCTCCCCTCACTCCACATCTGGTCCCACTCCCTCTGTCCTGCTCCACATCTGGCCCCGTGCCACCTGCCCTCTGCCCCTCCTTCCCTCCTCCCTCCCCCCACTCCACAGACACCTGGCTTGCCTCACCTGGTCCGCTGGAGCAGACCTTCTCCAGGATGCAGAGCAACGGCACCCCTCCTGCGCTGATGCTGCTCCTTGTCCAGCTGCACACCCCCCACTCCATGTCAGCCTCCCCTCTTCCCCACCGCTTCAATTTAGGGAGAATTAAACCCCCGTTTTGTCTACAAGTGCTTTAAGGTGCCAGATGGAAGGCAAGGCAGTTAAATGCCATAATTTACTTGTGCCCCCTAATGTCACGATCCAATGTTAATCACTAGGGTTACTATTAGTAGTGATTTCAATACAGAAAGCTGCAGTTGGAAGAACTGCTACAATATACACTACCAAGTATTTGAAAAACAGAGTGAGGTAACGTTTTCTCCTAGAAGCATTCAGTTAAATGCCAAAACTCACTTTAATTTGAACACATTTCAACTCTTTTTTTGGTCCTTTCCCCCCAATATTCAGGCATAGTGGCATGAGTACTTATGAAAAGCAAACTGGCAGCTTATACATGTAATGGAAAGTCAGTTGTGGATGCCCTACTTGATTGTAATAAAGTTTACATTGTCCTCGGTATTTGCATGTCACCTGATCTAAGAGTAGAAACAACAGACAAAAAGAGCACATTTAGAATATTTACAGCAGCTGGCTTTCCCTGCAAATGGAGAGTTATTCATTCCAGAGCTTGCAGACAATGAATAGTGATGACACCCTAGCATTGTCCAGCATGCTCACAAACAGTGTAGACAAGCAGATGCAGGTCCTGAGCAGATGCAGGTCTTTGATACACTCTTCTCCTCCTCTGGATCCCTGTACATGTCATTAGTTCACTTGTTGCTGCTTTTGCATGATCTATTTCCATGACTGCAAACACAAGATACACTTTGAATATTTTTTGCAAAAGAGGTCTGTTATTTTTTAGACACTTTCCCAGGGACAGGGTCCTGGGCCTGGTCCACCTAGGAGCAGCAATGGACATCTCTTTCACATATTGCTTTTTCCCCTGCACCTCATTCACTGTTTTTCAGCAAGTGCAACTGTTTCTAGCTTAGCCTGAAGAAGGGTTTTTGAACCCGAAAGCTTGCTTAATAACTATTCTCCAACTATTTGGGTTGGTCTAATAAAAGATATCAAATTCACCCAAGGAACCTTGTCTGCCTATGTCCTTAGACCAACACAGCTACAACCTAAACCACTATTTCTAGGAGACATTTTTAAAGATGACCACACAAGCCTCCTCCTTCTTTCCCTTACCAAGTTATTTCATGTGTGATACAGGGCATTCTGTGTTTGGCTGATGTCAATACTTGCATTATTTGTATTTCTTCACCAGATCCTTCAGCTACTCCTCTTCGATGGAAGCTTGCCACCATTGTTCTTGGGATTCTCTGCCTGATGCTAATGATAGCAGCAGGAGTTTTGGGTTACAATGGTAAGTTCATAGAAACCACTATGGATCTGATAGGAGTCTGTACAAAGTTTTTGAGGGCAGGCAATGTTTTCCAATAGCTCTAGGAAGAGGCTAACATGACATATTAGTTGCAGTGTATCACTCAAATACTAGATGTCTCTTTCCACCATGTGCAGTATTAGAGTGTAGCACCTGGTAAATGAGTGAGACAAAGCTGAAACATGAGCTGGTTGGACTTTTGTTGTTGTTGTTTTGTTTACTACATGTCCTTGTAGTGGCTTTCCTTAGAATTACCTTCCTGTTTTGGATGAACAGTGACCCCATGACTCACTGGACACCAGAACACAGCAGGACATTGGGTATCATAATCCAGGGTCATGACCCTGCAAGTCTTCCCCTTAACATAGGGGAATTGGATGCATGAAAGAAAATCTTGGCTTATGAGTGTGACAATGAAAAACCTCCATACTGAGCCGATACAAAAGGGGAAGTAGAAAGGAAAAGAGTCAAGGAGCTGGTTTCCATGTATTAGCACAAGACTAGCACAGAGATAGTGTAGACCATCTCCCCACATGCCCCGCTGTAACAATTCCCCTGTAAATTTCATAGATTTCATAGACATTAGGGCTAAAAGGGACCTTGGAGGATCAGAGTCCAGCCCCCTGCCCAAAGGGCAGGAAGTCAGCCGGGTTCATAGGATCCCAGCAAGATGAGCATCCAGTTTGCTCTTGAAGGTGTTCAATGTGGGCGCTTGAACCACCTCCGGTGGCAGGCTGTTCCAGACCTTGGGGGCTCGGACGGTAAAGAAATTCTTCCTTATGTCCAGCCTGAAACGGTCTTGTAGTAGTTTATGACCATTCGACCTAGTCGTCATCCCTTGGGGCGCTCTGGTGAACAAACGTTCTCCCAGATACTGGTGGTCACCCCTGATAAACTTATAGGTGGCCATCAGATCACCCCTGAGCCTGCGCTTTTCCAGGCTAAAGAGCCCCAGGGCTCTCAGCCTGTCATCGTAGGGTCTGCTTCCCTGACCTCTGATCATGCGCGTGGCTCTTCTCTCGACTTTCTCAAGCTTCTCCACATCCTTTTTGATCTCCACATCCTGTTTGAATTGTGGAGCCCAAAACTGGATGCAGTACTCCAGCTGCGGCCTCACCAAGGCTGAGTACAAGGGGAAAATGACGTCCCGGGATTTGCTTGAGAAGCATCTATGGATGCAAGCCAGCGTTTTGGTCGCTTTACTAGC